GATCGAGCCCCGCGGCGGCCGCCGTGTCCCCCGCCGCGCCCCGTCCTCCTGCACCGCCTATGGCAAAGCTCGTGGGCGGTCCCCAGCAACCGCCGAGCAGTATTGGCCAATGGACAGCGGATCTAGCAAACAGGCGGCTGACTTGACCAATGGTAGTGGAAAGGCGGGCCTGTGCCTGATTGGCGGCTAGATTTGCCCAATGAAAACTGGGGGCGTGGGTGGGCGGAGCCGGAAGTAGAGCCAGACCAGAGGCCCCAGTCCGCCTAGGGCGGAGGGAAGGGGGAGGGAACTAGAGGAGGAGGAGGTTAGCCGAGGCAGCTACGGCGGCGGCGGCGGCGGCGGCGCAGGGGCTGGTACGCGCTGGGCGGTGAGAGCCTCATGGCGGAGGAAGAGAGCGACCAAGAGGCCGAACGCCTCGGGGAAGAGCTTGTGGCCATTGTGGAGTCCCCGCCAGGCCCTGCGGGGCTTAGAGTTGCGGGCGACGGCAAAGGCAGCATTGGCGACAGCAGCTGCGGTGGCGGCGTCGTTGGGATCAGCAGTCGGGATTACTGCCGACGCTTCTGTCAGGTGAGGCGCTGGTCGGCCGCTCGGACTTGTCACCCGGGTTCTGGGCCTCCCTGTGTCTCCTGGCCTTCTCGTCCTCGAATCAGGGCTGTGTCCAGTGCTCGCTCCACCAACCCAAAAGGAGAGTGAGGGTGAAGCTCCCCCTCCACCTATCCGGCTTGGGTTGGGGGGCGGGGAGCGAGACGGGGATGACCCGTGGGTTTAGGGTTGCTGAGAAAGTGAGTTTGTCGCTGGTGGAGGGGCTGAAAAAGGGGTTCAGCTGGCAGGAAAGCACTGTAGTACTGACATGCCTCCCCTTTCCCAGACAAACCTCTTTCTGCCCGAGGGTCCCGCCTTCTTGTGTTTCCTACCCTATTCCTTCTCACCTCGTTTGGAATCTGGCAACATTTCCTGCCTTCCCTTCTCCGCCCCTAGCCCCCTGTATTCTCCGCTTTTTCAGAGACGGAAGGCATGCCATCTCTCTACTGCTCCCTGTCCTGTCATTGCCACCCCTCCCCCTCTGCTAGGGTCTCCTGTCATCCCCTCACAAGATCCCAATGGGTCAATTCTGTTGGTTTAGGCGCTTACCCACGATGATTTAGTTACTTTTTAGGGAGGTGGGGTTAAGACAGTGTGATTGTCATCTTTTTTTTTTTTTTACCCCTTTCCCCGACACACGCACTTTTTTTTCTAATTAACTACTAATAGAGAAAGTAATTTTCCTTAAACTATTGCTCTCGTTGCATCACCATCGCCCTCATTCTTTAAATTACAATGTATTTAGCCTATACAATACAGTGTCCGCACAATGACAGTAAGTTATTTACTAAGTCGACTAGCCACTGCGATTGATGTAGTTTAACGTGTTTGACCATAATCAAATATAGCATCAAAGTGTTCGTCTAGGGGTAAAAGTTGTGTAATCTACATTCACATCTACGTATATTTATAGTTTAAACATTTTCTCATTCACAACAGTCTTGTTTTGCAAACTGTTTTGGAAAAAAAGTTCTCCTTTTTCACACTATTCCTTTTTTTTAAAATTTTATTATCTTGGACATATAGAGTTCGTTCACATATTGGCTCCACCACTTCCTAGTTATGTTACCTTGGACAGGTTATTGGAACCTTCACATATTAATTAAAGTTAGCTATTAATTTCATTCTGGTAACAAGTAGGAAATAAAGTTAACAAGAAGTGGGCATCATATTTGCTGAAATTTGATTTTATGCCTTTGCAAGCATTGAAAGCAAAAGGATGAAGTTGAAATTTTCAGATAAGTTTTTAATACTTAAATTGTTTTGATTTTGATTTCATTCCTCCCATAGATAAGTTGGCTTGAAGGTGGAAATTGTGTTGGTGTAGAAGGGTGTATCAGTTTTCTTTGGCATTGCTCTCTATTTAGTGACTTTTTCAAAAGTGTATTTTTTTTTTTTTGGTAGTGGCATTCACTGGATTCAGAGGTTCAGTACCTTTATAGTACTTGTCTTTGATGCATTTTACATCTAGAAAAAATGTTATCGGTAAACGTCGTATCTACAGGAATTTTAAATAATTGACCTTTTTAATAGACTCACAAGCAGAAAGTTTTTATTTTTTTTCCCTATGTTTTGCTTTTAATATTACGAATGAGCAACTTGGTTTTGGTTACCTTTAGCTTTAATTTACTTGATCAGATAACCTTTAATTGTTGTAGAATTTGAAATTTTATTTGAGAATCAGAACATTTTTAGAGAACTACTCTTATTCTGTTTTTTGAAATCAGTCTTAAGAACAAATGACTACATTTAACCTGTGAAATATAGTGTCTGCAAAGTGACAGTAAACTATTTTAAAAACAAATGTTGACTATTTAAACAAGTCCATTACCTCCTAAATATGCAAGGAAATAAAACTATACAGGAAGAACTTAACTTTTATTTCACATTGCTAAATTTATGTTATACTGACATACTTTCATGTTACCAACTTTTACTTGAAATCTCATTATATATTTTATAATACTCTAGATGAGCAATAGATCTGTTCTTAAGATTCCTGTCCTGGTTCCACCATGCAGGTGAGCTTTATAAAGTCCTTTTTTGTATTAAAACTTTAAGACAGAATAAAAGATTACCTATATTAAGTTGAATTTAATTCATTGATTAATAAAATTCTAGTAGTATGGTAGTATTGTTTTATTTGCCAGTAAGGAAAGTAGATTATATAATCTATTTCCCAAAGATTGTGTGTGTATGTGTGTATGTTTTAAAACATTTGGTTTCTTAATATTTACTAAGGGGAGTGTTAAGTAATTTGCATTCATTAGTAAATGATTTAATTGTGAATAATCTATAAAATAGATAATATGGACTTGGGCGGATGACAGGTTAACTAAATATATGACTTATACACACAGCCTGGAAATGAGAAGAAAGGCTCTAATTTATCTTCCTCCTTTAAAAGAGAAATGTGAATAAAAATTTCTTGGCAGTGTGTGGGTGAAGGAAGAGAGGAAGGAACACTTCAAGAGAGGTTCTTGTGTCTTTTACCACAAGGAAAAGTAGAACAGAAGACAGTAGATATTATAAGTTATAAATTATGCATGCACTCAAGTGTATTTGACGATATACTTCTCTGTTTGAGAAGCAATACTAGTAATTATAAAATCTCAAACTAAGGGAATAGTCCCTTAGACTTCAGCTGATTTTTGTGATGATGGATTTGGGAGATTGAAAGTGTTGATTTTTCAAAGAGTTACACGGTATAATGTCTGACTAAGTGCCACTATTACATCTTCCCTTGGCTCTTATTAGTAGACTCTCAAATGCTTAAATAGAATTGGCTCTTAACTGATATTTACTTTGAGGGTAAAAGGAAGGAGAAATTGATTTTTATTGAGGGCCTACTAACTCTTAAGACCTTCAGATGGGTCTTATTATGTAAATTGCATAGTTGAACTTGAAATGTGAACAAGTTAACTAGTCTTCAGTTCTGGTAGGTGGATCAACTGGGATTTGAACCCAGCATTCAATTTCTACTGAAAGGCGGATTTGAGATTACAAATGAATTCTCAAATGATTACAAAGTGACTTATTTTGGGCAAGTTGTGCAAAGGAGGAAAAAAGTTCCTGGACATACTCATACTCATACTTAGGGAATCATGGATGAAAAAAATTAAAAGTACTCTTTATTATGGAACAGTGTAAAAAATATTTTGAGAAACAGTCTGATAATTATTATTTCTCTGACTTGTTAGGTGCTGTGAACATTTCCCCAATTCTTGAAGGTTGTCGTAATTCACTTTATTTTGTTGTTAGATATATCAAAATGTTTTGATCACAAATTGATTGTAAACTAAGCAAGTTAAAGTACTTTCTTTTTAATTCAGTTCTTTCTTTTTAATTCAGTTCCAGAATGAATATAGCAAATGATAAGTATTTCTGGAAACACTCTGACATGTTTATTAAAATAGACTTTAAAATTGTTTCTTACTACAGTGGGGTTAATAGTCATCTCATGAGGATGTCATAAGTATAAAATGAGAGAAAGTACTCGGTAGTGTACCTAGGACATAGATAGGCTTAAATAAATAGAAGCTAATATTTCTTATGTGAAATCCTCTGAAGGTTTAAGAGGGTCATTAGAGATAATCTAATCGGTAGGTCACATATATTTTGTATCCCACAATAAACTTTAGAAATGTTACAATTCTAAAATTCTGTTATTTAAGTAGAAAAGCCAAACGCTGCTGATAAAGTACTAAATGATTTTTTTCTCAGAGTTTTTGTTTCCTGTAGAGGACACTGGCAATGTCTGGAGATATTGTCCTGACGGGGGTGGGGATTTGGTACTGTCATATAGCGGATAGAGGCCAGGGATGCTGTTGAACATCCTAGAATGTGCAGGGCAGCCCCAACAACAAAGAATCTGGTCCAAAA